ACTGAAACAGCAAAGTACTGGCATAAAAACAGACACACAGACAATTCAACAGAATAGAGAAATAAATCCAGACATTACAGCCAAATGATTTTTAATAATGGTGTTAAGAACATATATTGAGGAAAGAACAGTCTCTTTAATAAATGGAGCTTGAAAAACTGTTTTTATACATACATATATGTATATATATATATATATATAACTAGATGCCCATCTCTCACCATATATAAAAATCAAATTAAGTTTGATTAAAGATTTCAATCTAAGACCGGAAACTATAAAACTACTGGAAGAAAACATTGGGAAAACACTCCAGGACATTTGTCTGGGCACAGATTCCTTGAATAAGACCTCAAAAGCACAGGTAACCAAAGCAAAACAGATCAATGGGATCACATCTAGGTAAAAAGCTTCTGCAAAGCAAAGGAAACAATCAACAAAGTGAAGAGACTATGCATAGAATAGGATAAAAATATTAGCATAACTACACCTCTGATCAAGGATAAACAACCAGGATATATAAGGAGCTCCAAAAACTCAATAGAAAAACAAACAAACAAACAAATAATTAGATTTAAAAAGAGGGTAAGTCAGGGGAATCACTTGAAATCGGGAGGCAGAGATTGCACCAAGCTGAAATGGAGCAACTGCACTCCAGCTTGGGTAACAAGAGCAAAACTGTCTCTCTCAAAAAAAAAAAAAGGCCAGGCACAATGGCTCATGCCCATCACTTTGGGAGGCTGACGTGGGTGGATCAGGAGTTTGAGACCTGGCCAACACAGTGAAACCCCATCTCGACTAAAAATTAGCGAGTCATGGTGGTGGGCACCTATAATCTCAGCTACTAAGGAAGCTGAGGCAGGAGAATCGCTTGAACCCAGGAGGTGGAGGTTTCAGTGAGCTGAGCTGGCACCACTGCACTCTAGCCTAGGCAACAGAGCTAGACTCTGTCTCAAAAAACAAACAAACAAACAAACAAACAAAAAAACAGGCAAAAGTTGTGAATAGACATTTCTCAAAAGAAGACAGACAAATGGCCAATAGGTATATAAATAAAGCTCCACATTACTAATTATCAGAGAAATGCAAATCAAAACTACAATGACATATCATCTCACCCCAATTAAAATGGCTCTTATCCAAAAGACAGGCAATAATGGATGCTGGTGAGGATGTGGAGAGAGAGCAACCCTCATACACTGTTGGTGGGAATGTGAATTATTATAGCCACTATGGAGAACAGTTTGGAGGTGCCTCAAAATCTAAAAATAGGACTACTATATGATCCATCAATCCCACTGCTGAATATATATCCCCCTAGAAAGAAAATTGTGTATAAAAGAGATATTTGAACTCCCATGTTTATTACAGCATTACTGATAATAACCAAGGTAGGGATTCAACATGTTCAACAATAGATGAATTGATAAAGAAAATGGGGTACATTTCTATAACCACCTTATTGTGCTAACAAGCACTAGATTTTATTCTAACTGTAGTTTTCATTCTTCTGCATATGTATATCGTTTTCTCAGCACCGTTTATTGAAGAGACTGTCCTTTTCACAATGTATGTTCTCGACACCTTTACTGTAAATAACTGGATTTATTTCTGTATTCTCGGTTATGTTGCATTTGTCTATGTGTTTGCTTTTATGCCAGCACCATGCTTTTGGTTACTATAGCTTTGTAGTATAATTTGAAGTCAAGTATGTTTATTTCTGTATTCTCTGTTATGTTGCATTTGTCTCTCTCTCTCTGTGTGTGTGTGTGTGTGTGTGTGTGTGTGTGTGTGTGTGAGAGAGAGAGAGAGAGAGAGAGAGAGAGAGATTGATTCTGATTCTCTGGAAACTTTCCATGGTACAGTGCAGTGTTCATTATCACTCAGCCTACATGATTTCAAATAGAATAGAGGTAAAATAAGAAATCTACTTATCTTTTTCTTTCTATGTTTTTCTTGTACCCCTATATGCTTCTTACTTTGCCTATGTCTTATAAATTTTGTTTCTTGATATTTAAATACCACCAAGGATAGAAATTTAGAAGATAAAAAATCGAAATATGTCTTTGACCTATTTTGTCAATATCCAGATAATAAATATTTTATATTTTGAGGGACAGCTAATATTAGCCATTGTCTTTAAACTATGACAACATAATCTTTTATCAGTTGGATGAGTTATTTCTAAAGGTTTGGCAGGAATAGGTTTCTCAAAAATGTCAAAGCCAAGAGTTACACAGGTCTGCTCACTTAAAAAGCAATAAAATCTGGAACATACAACCAAAAAATGTAATATCTATAACCTCATTTGTTTTTTACCTTTTATAGAATTCTTTCTGTTTAATTACAAAGAATATTAATTTTACTGAGTAGTTTTTGGTTGTACTTGAAGCTCAGGGAAAATCCAGTGGCACTTATCATAATTTAAGATTTAAAAATAATTTGGGAAAATGTAAAGGATTTTAAGTAAGTGGTTGCAAATTAAATTAGGCTTGGATGCTTGTATTAAGTCAGGGATAATTAATTTGTGCTTATGAGATGATTGAAATCACAGAATAACCAACTAATAATTTGATGCAACAATTCTGACTCAGCTAAATGGTTGGTTTTTGTGATGTACTACTCTTTCACTAAAGAATAATAAATGTTTTCCAATTTGGAATCAGACTTCAGGTTTACAGACAAGTGTGCAATCAATTGATTCCTATATATATTTTACACAATGGAATATATATAATAATATTCATCAACTTTCCATCTCTTCTAAATTTTCAACCATTCCACTTTTCCCAAGAATGTATTTGTGTTTTTTATCTAAATATCATGTATTAGAAAATAAACTAAATGTCTTGACCATTGTTCACAAATAGTCATATTTGAAACAGCATATTATAAGCCTATGGGTTCTCTTTTCTTTAAACAACAGGCATCTTAATGAAGAGCCTGGAAGTCATAATTCTCTGGAGGCTGCCTCAGAACTAACAGGCATTTCAGCCATAGATTCCTGGTTAATAATAAAGTAAAAAAAAGGTCACTATGAGGAACTCTCTCCAAAGAATTACATGGAAGGCAGCAGGCAATGAGAGAGAGCTTGTGCAGAGAAACTCTCATATTTGAGACCAACAAATCTCATGAGACTCATTCACTATCAAGAGAACAGTGCATAATTCAATCACCTCTTACCATGTCCCTCCAACACTTGGGAAGTGTGGGAGTTACAGTTCAAGATGAGATTTGGGTAGAGACACAGCCAAATCATATCAATTACTTTCATTACTATAGTCCTTTTGTATATTATAGGAGTAACAAATTATAATTTTTAAGTTTAAAGGAGGAAAAACTGTATTTAAAGATTTACAGAGTAACTGCAAATCCTATTAGTAAATAGGATATCAATATCTTCAATAGATTAAATCATTCATTCAATAAATATTGAGCACTTATCATAGGCCAGGCACCGCATCAGGCACTGGGTAACAATGGTGGGAGAAGACATACTCAAAATTTGCTTTTGGGGGCTTACTTGAAGTTTTGTGAAATAGATAGCAATCAATAAAATAAAGCCACCAAATTTAGATAAGTAGTCTGAGTAAATGTGGCACACTGCTAATGGAAGAACCTGGTCTAGACCAAAAGTCAGAAAAGATGTTTTCCAAAAATGTGATACTCCAGCTGAGACCTGAAGGATACCTAGCTGAAATTAGAGCCAAGCTGAGGAAAGGTACCAGAAAGTGGAAAGGCCTGTGTCAAATCCCTGTGGCTAGAGACAGCCTGGTGAAAAAAAGGTGAAGCCCCAGAGGGAAGAGAGCAAGATAGGGATGGTGTGAGATGAGGATGCTCAGCCTGTTCCAGAGATTAGCTTTTGCCCTGGAAGAATTTTTAGGAGGGTGATGACATCCTATGCCACAGATGTGTCTTCACTGCTGGGGGTTTTGTGAAATCTGGTACCTAGCACACAATGCATGATACTTAATACAGCTGGTAAATATTTGTTAGAAAAAAGAAGGAAGAAAGGAGGAAGGGAGTGAGGGAGGGAGGAAAGAGGGAATGAGGAAAGGAAGAAAGTAAGAAGGGAGGGGAGAATGGAGGAAGAAAGAAAAGAAGGAAGGAAGTCAAGAAGGAAGGGGAAAGGGAGGATAAAGGGAAGCAAATGGAGAAGGAAGGAAGGGAGAGACAGGTTAAGGAGGGAGTAGAGGGGTGGAAGGAAGGAAGAAGGGAGAAAACAAAGGAACAAAGGAAAAAAGTAGAAAGTGCATAAGAGGAGATGGAGAGAGGAAGGCAGGAAGGAAGGAAAAAAGGAAGGGAGGAGAACAAAGGGCAGAAGGAAGAGAGGGAGAAAGGGAGGAATAGAAATGAAGAAAAATGGAGGGAGAAAAGAGAGGGAAGAGGGAAGAAGGAAGGAAAGAAGGAAAGAAAGAATGGAGGGAGGGAGGAAAGAAGAGACAAAAAATGATTGAAGGAAGGAAGGTAGGTAGAGATAAAAGGGAGAAGGAAGGAAACATCAGAGAGTGAGACATAGTAGAGGCACAGGACTTGGAGATGAGTCAAATCAACTCCCCATCTACTACTGTGGCTCCTTAAACTTTCTCCAAAGCTTCCCAGGTAATCTCATTTTGGTCGTTACTGTCACTTTTATAGATGGGGACAATAAACCCAGGATAATCAACTTGCTTAAGGTGATATAACCAGTTCTCACACAAGCCTTCTCTCCAGAATATTAACACATTCATGTCAATGTGTGTGTGTGCAGATATATCATGTATGTATACATGGTCCTTTTTCTGTGTTTCCACTAGGAATGTCTTAATTTATTGGATTCCAAGAGTCAAAATAAGGAGACTACACTTCATATATTCTTAAAATTATTGCAAACATTCTATTTACTTTTAAGTTGTTGTGAAACAGTGTGCCTAACAGATAGTAGGAATTCTATTTATGCATAACATGTACTGCATAATGAAGTAATTGATTCCTCGTTTTCCACATGGCTTTCTGGACAGTTTGGCTTTGAATGTGTTGGCAAGATTCCCAAGTGGTTGTCGCACATGAGGGTGATAGAAAATTAAAGGACTGGCTTTGCTTGCAGTTCCTTCAGGTCAAGAGGAAAGCAGCTAATATTATTGACTCCTCAACTCAAGAGAAGACCGAAAGACATTCCTTCAAGGTATACAGTCATATTCTTCTTCCCTTTCCTGTGTTACCAGTTTGGATTTCACAGAAGCATAACGGAAACATATCTGGCCAATTTAGAGGCATGCAGAAAGTAAAATAAAAGTACTGAAGACGAAATTTTAGCATTTGAACAAAAGTACACCCCAGTTCTTTCTGAAAGTAAGTGCTAAGTTCCTGGAGGAGGAAGTTGATTTATGCGTTGTTTTTTTTCTAATTTAGGAATCAATGACCTCAAAGAAGCCATTTCTCAATCTTTGCTCAGAATTGATGCTGGGCTTCCTTTTCTCTGCTTTTGCTCAGACTTCTCACCTCCAGTTTGGTGCCCCTCTCTCTTCTGCCTGTCTCCCATCTCACACTCCCCTCTCCTCCCTCCTCTCCCATCTCATACTCAGGGCTCATCCCAGATGCTCCCACCTCTCTGTATTCACGACTGTTTTTCTGGGGACTGTCTCTGTAGTAATAATGGTTTTCTCTGTTAATGTATCACTTCCCATGCTTCCCAGCTCTCTATTCAGAAAAGCCCATGCCAACTCCACAATTACACAGAAAAAAAAAATTACCCTGAAAAATAATAAGTAACTTGCACAAAATGTAGTATTTAAATGGAAAAGAGGACAGTGTTCAAAAAAAAAAGGACAGGAGTAATGTTCTTCCTCTTTGACATATTTTTAATCCTCTATAATTTTTTTTGTCCCTGGCCTATAATCTTTGAAAGCTTTTGATGTTTATTTTGAATGCTTGCTTTATGTGTAAGAAATATTCTACTGCTTTCTAAACTAAAGAGAGCAGAGACCAAAAAAGTCTCTGGAATTAACTGGTAGCAGCAATAGGAAAAGGCTGATGAAAGGAAGAGATGGAGCCCTAAAGAAAATAGAACTATCTATAAGAGTTTAAATAGCTCAGCTATCTACCCATACCTTCATCATTCTAACCTTCCTCTCAGCTCAAATCTGTGGGCCTTTTCCAACTCCAGGAGCAAAAGATGTGGAGAACTATAGACCTAGATGGGAAATAAAAGAGAGGTACTTTTAATATACATACATTTTCAGTGATATGAATTGGACAAAACTTTATGAAAACTCAATCACTGTCATTATTTTTAACAGAACATGTACTTCAAGCTTGGATGGAACTTAAGCCAGGTAGATTGTATTGGAATTCCAGTTCTACCACTTATGAGATGTATTACCTTTGATAATTATTTAGCCTGAGTTTTTACATTTATGAAATAGGGACAATATTGTTATCTACTTCACAAGGGTATTATAAAGATTAAGTAAATTAATTAATGTAAAGAACTGAGAACATTTTCGGACACTGGTGGGATTGTTTAATTAAAGAGCTATATAAACACTACTGAAACTTTCTGAATGCATACATAACTTCAAGCCTGCCACAGCGGATCTGGAAGAGAGTTATAGTTATGCATTTTTGCCCTTATCTCTCTAAAGATACAGTGAGATGAAATGTCACCATATCTTCAGAGTGATAATGGCATATAAAATATGTGAAATTCCCAGAAAAGTACTGAGCATAGAGCAAGTATTCAGCAATAGCTATTATTATTACCATTATCAATGTTATGATGATTATATGACCCTTTCCATGACACATTCATCATCAGAATCTCTTGATTGGCAATCCCTGTTGCTATTACAGAACCTCTCAAATGATTGGCCCAATAGGTATTTACAGTTTTGGTCAAAATTCAGTCTCATTACTACTGTGGTCTTGCTTGTGAACTGCTATATTATACAAGGACTACTGAGCCCACAGAACGTTAGCATTGTAGCAAAACTAGCACTGCTGATCACTGGAAAATCTTTAATCCAGATGGTGCAGATCAACACTTAAAACACATATGGTTACCTTGGACCTAAAGAGGGGAAAACTGGTGGCCAGTTTCAATTCACATTTGAAAGTGTTCCTTAAGATATCTTGCTATTAAATGCAATCAAATACTTTGAGAAGGACTAGAGAGGTGAAGTTTCCAAAACATCAACATTCGGAAACAGAAAAACAGAATCCAATAGCTACTATTATTATGTTTTAAACTTTTAAAACACCAAATTAGGTTTTGCTTTGCTTTGCTTTACTGAAGTAAACATTTGTTTGGGTGGCCATCTTGACTCTGTTCTAGCACTGACTTTTGTCACAGTGTGCAAATGTTTTCTTGCTTTGTGTTCCCTCTGGGTAAACATATAGAGAATTTAATTTTCCATATGTACTCTGTCATTTGCGTTACTTTGGAGATATGCAGGATTTATGAGTCAGGATTAACCCAGAAATTAACTTTCTAAGTGATACTGAGCCATTCCCTCTTGAAATGCAATTTCTTTGTGTTACAGAGTTTTCTGTCTTAAAAGGAAATAATATTATGTTCCTTTCTATATTTTTAACAATAGTAGCCACATAATTCAATTTAATATATTTTAAAACTAATTGTTAAACAGCTTATATCTACACTCTGCTTAGTACTAGAAGAGGAAATAACTAAAATTAATGACACTCTAATGGTAAAGAACAGAGAATTCTCTGCCTCTCAGATCATCTAAACCAAAGACATGTACACAACTACCTATAATGTAGGCCAGACCACAGAAATGCTAAGTGATGCTTTAAAGTCTTCTGAAAAATAATGCTTTAACTAAATAAAGTCTCCCTACATCCAGAGCATGAATGATGCTGCTATTACTTATTTCTACTGTCTTCCATCTATTTTATAGTGTCCTTTGATCTCTGCATTCTTCTTGTTTGAAAGTAATATTCTTGATATGTTTAATAATGAGACCTCTCCTTTGTTCCTAGATGCCTTGGCGGCTAATCAACAAAAGCCATTGAAAGACTTAATCCTCTAAGCTTGGCACCACATCAGTCTGGAAGTAGTTTACATGCAGAGTCCTTCGGAGTAAATACTCATTAGAGGTTCTGTTGCCTCATTTGGTCACCCACATTTTGCAGTGGGTGGCCCAGTTGGCATCCTCCTTATTTTCTTTTTCCATCTCTGAAGATAATCCAGATGAAGCAACCTGACACTACTTTCTTTGGTATTTAAAATCCATTGTAATGAAGGGTCCATTAATTTGTGATGCTAAGTAATAAGTCCAGATAAATAAAGGCCTCAGCCTGGTAATACTATAATAAATCTTTTACTAATATACTGTTTTCAGTACAACCTATTGAATACAATTTGATGGCTTCATGGATAATTTATTGTAATTTCTTGTGCCTGAAACATAGAGAATTATGTGCCATCTACGCCTGCCTCACCACTTCCCCACCCCACCCATAATTTTACACAAATGAACTTTACAGAAGCAAATTTTATACTAAAGAAATTCAATTTACAGAAACAAATTTATCCAGGTTATTCACTAATTACAAAGCAAGTATCTTGCTTCTCCATTTATTACCTAGATAGATTTTTACTATGTAGCTTCTTGATTAGTACTTGAGTCAAAGAAGCAGAGAGTCTCGAGAATGTTATTATCTTTCAGGTTTAACAATGAAAATCTCAAAAAAAAAATCAACTACTGTGGTTTGACAACCTAAGTACAAAGGGCTGTTAAAAGGCAAGAAGGGTAAGCTATATCTTATTCTTGGAGATCTTGCTTTTTTGTTATAAAGCCAATATGAGTAAGTTGCACATTTTTCCTCATCATTATAACAATAATCAGCAAATGGGCTTGGAATAAAATTTACCAGTTAGGATATTTGTTAATGTAAAGATTCAAAACATAACATATATAAAGCTCTTAGAACAGTGTCTAGCTTTAGGCCATGGGTACCCGTGTATGAGAAGCTATTGTATTCTTTTCATATGAAGTCATATTAATCTTTGTTTATAATTTAAGTTCTGGGATACATGTACAGAATGTGCAGGTTTGTTACATAGGTATATTCATGCCATGGTGGTTGGTTGCACCCATCAACCTGTCATCTACATTAGGTATTTCTCCTAATGTTGCCCCCACCCCACTTGACAGACCCAGATGTGTGATTTTCCCCTTTCTGTGTCCATGTGGTATTCTTGTTATTCAACTCCCACTTTGAGTGAAAACATGTGCTGTTTGGTTTCTGTTCCTGTGTTAGTTTGCACAGAATGATGGTTTCCAGCTTCATCCATGTCCCTGCAAAGGACATGAACTCATCCTTTTTTATAGCTGCATAATATTCCATGGTGTATATGCACCACATTTTCTTTATCCAGTCTATCATTGATGGGCATTTGGATTGGTCCCAAGTCTTTGCTATTGTGAACAGTGCTGCAGTAAACATATGTGTGCATATTTCTTTATAATAGAATGATTTATAATTCTTTGGGTATATACCCAGTAATGGGATTGCTGGGTCAAATGGTATTAATTTTTGTATAAGGTGTAAGGAAGAGGTCCAGTTTCACTTTTCTGCATATGGCTAGCCAGTATTCCCAACACCGTTTATTAAATAGGAAATCTTTTCCTCATTGCTTGTTTTTGTCAGGTTTTTCAAAAATTAGTTGGCTGTAGATGTGTGCCATTATTTCTGCAGCCTCTGTTCTGTTCTGTTAGTCTACATATCTGTTTTGGAACCAGTACCATGCTGTTTTGGTTACTGTAGCCTTGTAGTATAGTTTGAAGTCAGGTAGCATGATGCTTCCACCTTTGTTCTCTTTGTTTAGGATTGTCTTGGCTATATGGGCTCTTTTTTGGTTCCATATGAGATTTAAAGTAGCTCTTTCAAATTCTGTGAAGAAAGTCAATGGTGGCTTGATGGGGATAGCATTAAATCCATAAATTACTTTGGGCAGTATAGCCATTTTCATGATATTGATTCTCCTTATCCATGAGCATGGAATGCTTTTTCCATCTGTTTGTGTCATCTTTTATTTCCTTGAGCAGTGGTATGTAGTCTTGGGAGGGTGTATGTGTCCAGGAATTTACCCATTTCTCCGAGATTTTCTAGTTTATTTGCATACAGTTACCTAATGTAATGCTGAATAAGAGTTAAATTATGTATCTTCCACTGGCTTTACTTTGCCTAAGCAAACATAATACATGATATAATAGTTAATATATAATATGCAGAAATGTTATGAAGCATAGTTAAGTTTAGAAGATTGAGCCTAAACATTTACATGTGACTTTTGATGACATATTGATAGACACATGCATATATCTGTGTATATATGTACATACACATACATATCTATAGATATATATCAGTATATGTAAATATATAGATGTGTAGATAGTAAAGATATATAACCATATAGTCTAAGCTGAAATCAATAATAATAATGCCTCAAATGTACTGAATTTCAAAGGATATTGATAGTGAAACAAAACCTAGTAAAACAAAATAAGCGTGTCTAGCTATACAGCAATCGTCCTATTTAAATTAAAACTTTATTTCGGAGCTCTTCTAGGATACTATTTGAGAAAAGTTTTCTGTAATAAAAATTGGTATAGCAGTAACCATGACACGCACATCAAAATGAAATTTTTGAAGTTTTATGTGTAGGTTTGTGGATGGGTAATTTAGATTTATGGTAATAAACTATTCAAAGTGATTAGTATTATGAATTGCCCCCTTATGACTTTATTTTACCACTTATAAAAGTCTTGGGTGGTTCAATGTCATGGATGAGCAAACAAACAAACACACACCTGGATACTGTGATGTATGAGAAAAGACAGAAACTGCATCTGTGCCTGAGTGCAGCAAGTTTGAGTAAGTCAGTAGTAAGGCTGGGAACAGCACAGCATCACACACTTAACAGAGCTGATCCTGAACACATGCAAGCCCTCATGGTTTGGGCCATGGTCAGCAACACTGTCCCAGAGTGATGTGAGGCTCCTTCTAGGATAACTCATGAGTATGTAATTTACCATGGAGTAGCCTATTTATGATACACAGGAGGAAACCTTGCAGTTTTTTCCCTCCAAAGTTATTAAATCTTAGCGGCAGCTAAAAATCCAAGATACAGTATGATTTTGCACAAGATGACAGGATGCTTCCTACACTCGTCCTGTCTTTGAAAAAAAATGATACTAAGTAGTCTGATTAGAACTCAGGGAATGGAAACAATGTGAAGAAAGAATCAGATTTTTTGAGTTAGATGAGCTTACCTTCAAATCCTAGATTTATATTTAACCTTTGTTAGCCTACAGTTCGTTTTCTGTCCAACAAACAAAGAAGTATGTACCTTGTTTGGTCATTTTGAGTATTTAATGAGGTAGTGGGTTCAAATATTTGAATATAATATCCTACAACTGGAGGCCGTAATTCCTTTATAAAGAATGGCCAAATCCTTTTATTCTTCAACACCATATCTCCTCTCAATCTCCTGTCATCCATGGAGAAGTTAGTAATAGAACTTCAGAGTTTTGTAAATTCTGAAAGAAAAAAACTCTGTATGTTTTCTTATTTAAGATTAATATGGGTCAGGGAACTCCCTCCCCTAGCTAAGGGAAGCTGGGAGGAACTGTACCCTGAGGAATGGTACATTACAGCCCAGATACTAAGCTTTTCCCACAGTCTTTGCAATCTGCAGACCAGGAGATTCCTTTGGGTGCCTACACCACCAGGGGCCTGGGTGTCAAGCATAAAATGGGGCAGTCATTTGGGCAGACACTGAGCTAGCTGTAGGAGTTTTTTTTCTTACCCTAGTGGTATTTGGAATGCCAAAAAGACAGAACTTATCTGGAAAGCGGCCTGAAGTCAGGGAGTCAAATGGCCTAGCTCAGCAGATCTCCATGGAGCCCAGCAAGCTAAGATCCACTGGCTTGAAATTCTTGCTGCCAGCACAGCAGTCTGAAGGCAACCTGGGATGCTCTAGCCTGGTGGATGGAGGAGCATGCACCATTACTGAGGCTTCAGTATGTGGATTTCCTGTCATGATGTAAACAAAGCCATTGGGAAGTTTAAACTGGGTGGGGCCCACCACAGCACCACAGAGTCACTGTAGCCTGACTGCCTCTCTAGATTTCTCCTCTTTGGGCAGGGAATCTCTGAAAGAAAAGGAGCAGCCCCAGTCAGGGGCTTATAGATCAAACTCCCATCTCCCTGGGACAGAGCACCTGAGGGAAGAGATGGCTGTGGATGTAGCTTCAGCAGAATTAAACATTCCTGCCTACTGGCTCTGAAGAGAACAGTAGATCTCCCAGGACAGTGCTCAAGCTCTGTTAAGACTGCTTCCTCAAGTTGGTCCCCCATGCCTCCTGACTGGGAGACACCTCCCAGCATGGGTTAACAGACATCTCATACAGGAGAGCTCTGGCAAGCATATATAGTGGGTGCCCCTCTGGGATGAAGCTTCCAGAGGAAGGAACAGGCAGCAATCTTTGCTATTCTGCCATCTCTGCAGGTGATGCCAGAAAAATAGGGTCTGGAGTGGACCTCCATCAAACTTCAGCAGACCTGCAGCAGAGGGCCTTGAGGGAAAACTAACAAACAGAAAGGAATAGCATCAACATAAACAAAAAAGACATCTACACAGAAAGCCCAGCTGAAGCTCACCAACATTAAAGACTAAAGGTAGATAAATCCACCAACATGAGGAAAAACCAGTGCAAAAATGCTGAAAATTCCAAAAACCAGAATGTGTCTACTCCTCTAAAGGATAATAACTCCTTGCCAGCAAGGAAACAAAATTGGATGGAGAATGAGTTTGAATTGACAAAAGCAGGCTTCAGACGGTAGATAATAACAAAACTCCTCTGAGCTAAAAGAACATGTTCTGATCCAATACAAGGAATCTAAGAACTTGGGAAAAAAGTTAGAGGAATTGCTAACTAGAATAACCAATTTAGAGAAGAACATAAATGACCCAATGGAGCTGAAAAACAGCATGAGAACCTTGTGAAGCATATACAACTATTAAATAGCTAAATCAATCAAGTGGAATAAAGGATATCAGAGATTGAAGATGAGATTAAAGAGAAAAGAATAAAATGAAACAAAGCCTGCAAGAAATATGGGACTGTGTGAAAGACCAAACCTATGTTGGATTGGTGTACCTTTAGGTGACAGAGAGAATGGAACCAAGTTGGAAAATACTCTTTAGGATATTATCCAGGAGAACTTCCTCAATCTAGCAACACAGGCCAACATTCAAATTCAGTAAATACAGAG